AATACATACCATAGCTTGTAGACTCTATGGGGCTGAAAGGCAGATAAACTGTGCACTTTGCAAGTACAGTTGCACTGTGCAAGTGCAATTGCTTCAGAGCTTAGTAAATGAGCAGAAGCTCTGCTGACTTCCAACATCCAATCATTTGAAAGCAAAAATTCAGTTTTTTTATTTCCTTGCACATCATTGGGTATTCTTTGCAAGGAGAAAATTACCTGTTTGCAAAATTTTATAATAGAAACTAAACTAAATTTTTTTTTTCAAAAAAATAAAATGGCCAGTGGTGATTAAATACCACCAACAGAAAGGTCTATTTGTGTGGAAAAAAATTATGAAAATCTCTTATTGGTACAGTGTTGCATGACAGCGCAATTGTCATTCAAGGTGCGACAACGCTGAAAGCTGAAAATTGGCTTGGGCAGGAAGGGGTTAAAAGTGCCCAGTAGGCAAGTGGTAAAGTGGTATTAAACACAAAACCAAAAAAAATTAATACTTTATATTGCAGCTTACCAATAATGTGGTAACTGCATTCATTTAATTTTTTTTACATTTTTTCTCCTCTGTTTTCACCTGGTGATCTGGTCAGTAACACACCTCCTGTGTTATAGCGTTCCCACTCTTAATGAATGAGCACAGGGGGCACAGCAGACAGCAGCATTGCCAGTTTGGGGGGAATGGAGTGTTAGATGTACTAACAGATATAAATATACTAACAAAAAATGGAAGCCAAATTCCAGTTCACATTTTATAATCAGTTGCTGCAAACATTGTTTTTTTCCTTTTAGGCTAAAGGTTTTACGTTATTAAATAAAAGCTGATCAGCATTAAATGGCTTGTCTCATCCCTGTAAACTGATATTGTACGTCTAAAAGAGATTGTGTTCTTTTGAAAAACAACAGACTGGCTGGATCACCAGCTACAAAAAAAGAAAGAAAGCCTAAAAAAGATAATTATTGCAGCCACCACATCGAAGAATTGGTAAGCTGCAATATAATAAATGTTTGCTCCTAGGTTTAATACTGCTTTAGTGAATACACATTCTGGCTTATTAAAATTTACCTAAAGGTAATTTTTATTTGATTTTCTCTTATTTGCTCAGCCATTATCTCATACTTTATACACATATATTTTGACTGTACTTCTGTTCTGACTAACTGTATGGCAGGAAAGTGAAATTAATGCATTATTTCTAGACAGCCATTAAGAGAAAAATGAATTACAGGATAAGGAACTTAGACATTGTTAAGTGTATAATGAATTGTCATGGTCTAAACCAGGCCTGGACAAAATCTAAGAGCCATCTTTAAAAAGTTAGGAGTCGGCAGCTTTGATCTGACAATAAAATTGTTTAGAAAACAGAGGATTTTCAGAAACGATGAAAATATGGTGACAAATGTATTTAATTTGCATAGTAAGAAGTAGTTTTATCCAGATGTTAACACTGAAAACCAGAGGCACATTTTTACACCCAGGAACTCTGTCTGGGATTTAGCGACTATGAGCCTGGGTTCACACTGATGTGGTGCAGCACATCGCATGTGGTTCGCACAGAAAACTGCACAGCATTCCTGTGCAAATCACATGCGATTTCTGTGCGCGGTGCAATTTGAGCCATACATATTGTATGGCTTAGATCACACCGAATCCGCACCAAAATAGTGCAGGACACTTTTCGTTTGTCCTCACCAAAATCGGATTGCATGGGTATTCACACCCATGCGATCTGATTCGGCAAATCGCACCGTGCTTTGTGAAGCAATTTTGGGGTGTCCTTACCTTAAAATACACACCTGTAGCGGTTCACATGAACAAGGTGCGATCATGATGCGTATGGAAATCGCACATAAACCGGTGCAAATTCTGCACCACATCAGTGTGAACCCGGGCTCAAGGAGCAACAGCTTCCTTAACTACTTCACATTTTGCATGTCAAATTTTGTATGACAATTGCGCGGTCATGCAACACTACCCAAACTAAATTTTTATCATTTTGTGAGACAGAGCTTTCTTTTTGTGGTATTTAATCACCATGGGGTTTCTTATTTTTGGTAAACAAAATGAAAAAAGACCTAAAATTTTGAAAAAAACAAACCTTTTTCTTCGTTTTTGTTATAAAAATATGCAAATGAGTAATTTTCTTTTTCACTGATGAGCACTGATGAGGCTGCACTGCTAAGCTGCACTGATGGGCACTGCTGAGGAGGCACTGATGAGGCTGCACTGATAAGGCTGCACTGATGGGCACTGATAGGTGGCACTGATATGCTGCACTGATGTGGCTGCAGTGATGGGCACTGATACACTGCACTGATGGGCACTGATATGCTGCACTGATAGGGCTGCACTAATGGACACTGATATGTTGTACTGAGGGGGCTGCACTGATATGCTGTACTGATAGGCTGCACTGATAGGGCTGCACTAATGGGCACTGATATGTTGCACTAAGGGGGCTGCACTGATGGACATTGATATGCTGCACTGATGGGCTGCACTGACTATCAAGGTAATGATGATCAGTGCCCTGATAATCAGTGTAATCCCCCTGTCACAGGAAAGCCAGTTATTGGCTTCCCTTTCCTCAGCGCATATTATGTCCTCCCAGAATGAGAGAGGTCCCGCCCGACCATCATTCTACAATAAGCCAGAGAGGAACCAGTTAAAAAGGAACTACGCTGGATCTGAGCACCACAAACCAAAATTGCTATTTAATTCATTTTTAGTTTTCAAAGCAAACTCTCACATCAATCCATGTCTCCATGCTTTGTTTTTCTGAGAAATCAGTTTGGAAACACCCCCTAGCATTTATGGCCATGGCCATCTTCAGTAAGGGCAGCATTTACTTCCCAGAATCCATCTGCCCCTAACTCAGGCATGCCGACTGAAGATGTAAGACTGAAGATTCCTGGGATGTATGACATCCAGTATCTAGGCCAGAAACCAGGAAGTAACTGAAAAAATGTAAAAACAAATTAAAACAAATATGTGATATACTTTCTAATCTATTTACTAATGCCAGAGGCATAAGGATTAAAAATAGTCAAGATAAGGCACACTACCTCATCTGGCATTGTAGGAGTAGGGATCAGCTCAGTTTTATAGAGTGCTGGAAGGGTGTACCAGCTTTTTCAGCCAACTGGCTGATTTGGACAATATTGTTGCAAGGGGAGTTTTTACGGTGCCTATGCCACGCTGGTGACTGATATTTGTCCAGCCATGGCACAAATTGACTGTTTCCGTAATCAAACATGAGCAGATGACTCATCAAGTATAGAGGGCAATGAGCCATTTACCTATCCTTGAAGAACACATTGGCAGTTTTTTGGTTGTAATAGACTCTCCATATTACAGTTGCTTTTTACTGTATATTTAGAAGCACTAGTATAAAGCAATAGTATAATGCTATGCAGTTCTGCTATCGCAAGCAAAGCCCACAATAGTCAATAAGATTACGCTTGCATTGAGAGAAAAAAGGGCAGTAAAAGCACTACAACAATGCTACGCAAAAGGAAATATTGAAACGATTATTTACATTAGAGAGGTTGTAAACCCTTACATGTACCCAGTGAAGTGATTGGCCTCAGATGATACACAGAGATGGACAAACCCTCCTACATAACTTGTACCTGTTTATTTTCAGTCTTTCCTTCTCTACATTTCAAAGTGCAGAATTTTTTAAGTTTGTCTGAGAGTTCAGAAAAAGGGGGCAGAGAGCTGAAGTTACACTCTGCAGAGTTCAGTGAGGAGAGTTCTGAGAGTTGATTGGAGGGAAGAGACATGCCCCCCCCCCCCCCTTCCACATGGCTAACAGGAACTGTTAGGCTGTCAATCTACTGGAGGTCCTTCCCCAGTCACCATTTTTAATGTTAAATGTTTGCAACTATATATATACAGTTGTGTTCAAAATAATAGCAGTCAGACATCACAAACCTGATCAATCACTGTTTTTGGTAGAAATGATTTTTCTACATGGCAAATAATTTACTAGCAGGTGTAGTAGAGTAATAGAAATCCAACAGACCCAACAGTCATGACATGCATGCTGTTTATTCTGTGTAATTGAATCACTAATTGAAAGGGGCATGTTCAAAATAATAGCAGTGTGGAGTTCTATTAGTGAGGTCATTCATTCTTTGAAAAACAGGTGGCAATTATTGCCCTTATTTAAGGAAGGAAGGCAGCAAATGTTGTACATGCTGGTTACAGTGCATTTCTCTCTGAAATTCTGAGGAAAATGGGTCGTTCCAGACATTGTTCAGAAGAACAGCGTACCTTGATTAAAAAGTTGATTGGAGAGGGGAAAACATATAAAGAAGTGCAGAAAATGATAGACTGCTCAGCTAAAATGATCGCAAATGCTTTAAAATGGCAACCAAAACCTGAAAGATGTGGAAGAAAGCGAAAAACTACCATTCGAATGGATAAAAGAATAGCCAAAATGGCAAGGACTCAGCCAACAATCAGCTCCAGGAAGATCAAAGAAGGTCTAAAGTTACCTGTGAGTACTGTTACAATTAGAAGACGCCTATGTGAAGCCAAGCTATCTGCAAGAAGCCCCCGCAAAGTCCCACTGTTGAAAAAAAGACGTGCTGAAGAGGTTACAATTTGCCAAAGAGCACATTGACTGGCCTAAAGAGAAATGGCGCAACATTTTGTGGACTGATGAAAGTAAGATTGTTCTTTTTGGTCTAGTGGCTGGAGACAGGGTGTTCCAACAAGACAATGACCCCAAACACGCCAGTAAATGTGCAACATCTTGGTTCCAGACCAACAAGATTGACGTTATTGAGTGGCCAGTCCAATCCCCGCATCTTAACCGCTTACCGACCCGCCACAGTTTTTTTACTGCGGCAGGACGGCACCTGTGCGCACAGCGCTGTCTTTTAACGTCGCTGTGCAAAACAGGTAGGGGACGCGTGCGACCCGCCGATCGAGGCAGCGGGTGTCCATCACCGGATCCCGGCGATTACCGGTAATCACTGATAGATAGCACAGCTGCAGTGTTTACATTGCAGCTCTGCTATCTGTCAGTTCAGAGCACGCTGAACCTGAGAGAAGACGTTATCTCTCGGGATCAGCGTGTTCCTGTGAAGTACACACCCCCGCCCACTAGTAAAACACTCCCCTCCCACAGTTGAATAAAAAAGTTAACCCCTTCCTCCCCAGTGCCATTAGTACAGTGTCAGTGGTTTTTTTTTGCACTGATCACTGTATTGGTGTCACTGGGGATGTCAGTGACCCCAAGTCAGTTCTCCCCCCAGTGTCAAAATGTCCGCCGCAGTCCCGCAGTCACGCCATATGTCGCTGATCAGTGTCATAAATCACTGATCACCACCATAAGTCGCTGATCGCCGCCATTAGTATAATAAAAAAAAAAATCCCAGTATCTTTTCCGCCATTTGTAGATGCTATAACTTTCACGTAAACCAATTAATTTACATGTATTGGGATTTTCTTTAGCAAAGACATGTCGCGCAGAATACATTTTGGCAGAAATTTATGACTAAATTTGATTTTTACATTTTTTTACTGGACATGTTATATAGCAAAAAGTCCAAAATATTGTTTCTTTTTCAAAATTGTCAGCCTTTTTTTTTATAGCGCAAAAAATAAAAAACGCACAGGCGATCAAATACCATCGAAAGAAAGCTCAATTTGTGGGAAAAAAGGATGTAAATTTAATTTGGGTGCAGTGTTGCATGACCGCGCAATTGTCCGTTAAACTAGCGCAGCGCTGTATAGCAAAAAAAATGGCGTAAATTGCAGTATCTATACCATAGTTTGTAGACGCTATAACTTTCACACAAAGCAATCAATATACACTTATTGGGATTTTTTTTACCAAAAACGTGTAGCAGAATACATTTTGGCCTAAATTTATAACTAACTTTGAGTTTACTATATATTTTTTATAGCTGAAAGTGAAAAATATTGTTTTTCTTCAAAATTTTTGGTCTTTTTTTGCTTATAGCGTGAAAAAATAAAAAGCGCATAGGTGATCAAATACCACCGAAAGAAAGCTCTATTTGTGTGAAAAAAAGAACATAAATTTCGTTTGGGTGCAGCATTGCATGACCGCGCAATTATCAGTTGAATTAGTGCAGCGCCGAGTAGCAAAAAGAGGCCTGGTCAGGAAGGGGGGTAAATCCTCAGGAGGGCAAGTGGTTAATCCAAAAGAAAACTTGTGGGGTGACATCAAAAAATGCAGTTTCTGAGGCAAAACCAAGAAATAGAGAAGAACTGTGGAATGTAGTCCAATCATCCTGGGCTGGAATACCTGTTCACAGGTGCCAGAAGTTGGTTGACTCCATGCAACACAGATGTACAGCAGTTCTCAGAAACAGTGCTTATACAACTAAATATTCATTAAGGGATTCAAAGGAAAGCAAAATCTTCAAACATTTTTCAGTTTATATAGTGAATGTTTGAGTTTGTAAAGAAGAATACAAACACTGCTATTTTTTTGAACAGTCTAATATTCACTTTTCTTCAATTTTTTTAGAGGAACAACACAAATTTGATATATTTTTCTTCATGTTTTGATTTGGAATAGAATGTGTAGTGTTCCCAATGCATTTGTGTGTATGGAAATAAAAGCTATTAGAAGGATTTTGAGCTTTATTCACTTTTTTCTACACACTGCTATTAATTTGAACACAACTGTATATATATATAGATATATATATATATATATCTATATAGATATATATATATATATATATATTTTTTTCCAGTTCAACCCCCAGTGTTATCCTGGTGTACTCTGGATGATGTGTGACTAGCATTGTCTTGGGTAGCACCAAGGCTGTACCTAGCTGACACTGTGCATTGAGTTATAGCAACATCCGACATGCCCCTATGGTATTATTTAAGATGAGGATGGGCAGACTGAGTAGCTCCCACGTTTTCAAGCTTATGGCAACTGAATATGCATGTTTAGGATGTGAGTGGAAAGAACACTGAGATCCAGTAGGTCTTTTATCAGGGCCATGCTGGGCTGGGTTGTTGAAGACAATTCTGTCGGCATCAGAGAATAGAGCTGGGTAGTCCTATGGCATGTAAGATCATTTCCAGCTAATTTCCATATGCTGTTGTGGTTGTGGGGCTGAAATCCAAGAGAAAAGCTGTAGTTTCTGCTATCCTGATCAAAGCTAAAAATAAAGTGTTCTCCTGAAGGAATGGTAGTCTCCCCTGTACCTTTTTCTTTTATGAAGACACCATTAAACATTATATTTGAGACACACACAGAGACACATACACTCTCCACTTTATTAGGCACACTTTGCTAGTATTGGCTTGGGCCCCCTATTGTCTTCAGAACTGCCTTAATTCTACATGGCATAGATTCAACAAGGTGTTGGAAACATTCCTCAGAGATTTTGGTCCATATTGACATGAGTTACTGTTGCCTTTCTATCATCTCAAACCAGTCTGTTCATTCTCCTCTGACCTCTGACATCAACAAGGCATTTTCGTCCACACAACTGCCACTCACTGGAGAGTTTCTCTTTTTTTTTTAACCATTCTCTGTAAACCCTAGAAATAGCTGTGTGTGAAAATCCCAGTAGATCTGAAGTTTTTTAAATACTCAGACCAGCCCACCTGGTACCACCAACCATTCCACATTCAAAATCATTTAACTCCCCTTTCTTCCTCATTTTGTTGCTCAGTTTGAACTTAAGCAAGTTGTCTTTACCATGTTTAGATGCCAAATTGCATTTAGTTGCTGCCATGTGATTGGCTGATTAGCAATTTGTGTTACCATGCAATTGAACAGGTGTACCTAATAAAGTGGCTGGTGTGTGCATGTGTTGGCATCTGTTTGTTGAGTATAATTCACCTTTTAAAAATGAACCAGTGCAATTCATGAATAAGGGGGGGGATCAGAAAACTGGAAATAGGTAACATGTATAATTTTAACTCATAATTTCCACAACCCAATAATAAAAATTTATTATTTTGTCTGAAAAAAAAACAGATAACCACCAGCGCAGATTTCAAGATTTAACTTCCAGTTTGATGGTAGTCTTCCTTTACCTATCAGTTAGATGATTCCAGAGTTTTGCTGAATGATGTTGTCTCCTCTTTAATTTCCTCATGATGTATTTCTTGATGTCTACTGACACAGCTATCTCATGACATGCCTGTTTATCTATACATTTCATTTCCTAGGTAAGAAATCCTATACCCGGTTGTTATCTGTCATGGGCTGTGATCATTTCTTCAGTGCTAGTGAGGTGTCCACTCTATTTTCCAGATATTAACATTTCTGGAGTTTGAGAATGGAATGGTAGCACACCTGATTACCGTTATGTCAATCTCTTAGCTTTAATTTATATATATATATATATATATATATATATATATATATATATATATATGCAAAAAGCCATTTACATCTGCAGTGGCGGGCAGCAGCACCAAATACCTCTACACTTAAAGTGTTACTAAACCCACAACAGTAAAATCAGTCTGTATATGCACTAAAGCATGCTTATTATACTCACTGTGGAACCTAAGCGGTTAATCCTCTGCATTGTGTAAAAAGGCTGTTTGATCCTCTGCCTCTCTCTTCTTGTTGAAATGACCACCTGATACAGACTGAATCTGTAGTCCCATGCACATGCTCAGTTTGGTGTGTATTGCTAGAGAGAGTTTTTTTTCCTTGGGGGAGTACATGTGATCAGCAAAGGGCCAATAAGCATTGTCCAGAGAGAGGGTCAAGGGTTTCACATTCTCCAAGAGCAGAAAAAAAACTCCTCCTACAAACTTTAACCAGTGCTCTGCTGAAGTTACAAGACTGCTCTAACTGTTGATGAGAAAAAAATAATTGCATTTCCATGTTGTGTGTACTGTGGGAGATCAGATAGAGTGAATGCAGGGTCCTGGGTTTAGTACTTTAAAACAGACCATGTTAGGAAGAATTAAAACTGTCCTAGGCACATTTTTATAATAATTCTATTTTAATGAGCACCATTTTAAGAATGTCTACATGAACTTTATAAATACTGTATAATAATAATAATAATAACAACTCGCTCTAGCATGACCGGTAACAGTGGACCATACCTACTGTACATGGCAACAGTGCAGTCACTGTTTTCTAAATGAACCCCATAGTTGTAAGGAACAGTAAAGAAGCTTGATTGGGAGGTAAGCTCATGCTCTTATGGACACATCCTGTGGTTGAGTATTCTGTACTTAGCCATGCACTCCCAACATCCAGTGGCATAAATGTGGTACAGTAATATCCTATAGAACGTAGCTTTAAGGACTGCTGCTTATATGCTGTCTGTTAATCCTTGTCAGATAAGTTACCTTGCAGACATCTTGATCTGCTTCTGTGGTTACAACCTAAATGTCTTTTGCTGTATTTTCTGCTTCTCCTACTTTAGTTATGACTTGATTTGCCTTATGGTATCTAGTACTTGTGTCCCATTGCTCCTGTGACTTGAATGGGTCTCCAGTTACAATCCATTAACCAGGGCAATCCCAAGGGCTGCAATGTGGAGGGCGGGAGTTTTGATTCAGTATTTGTTGAACTGTGTACTCTGGTGCAGACCAAATCCAGCAACACCTAGGCTTACCAAGATTATTGAAATGGCCTATATTTGTCAGGGGTAGCAATGTGATCCCAAAAAGATACAGTTTTTAAAGGTATAAATAGTTAAAAAAAAACATACAAATAAGGTATGTTATGCTGTAAGCTAAGTGTTAAATTAATGATGTCAGTACTCCATCAGTCACATAGGGGAAAAATATCAAAGTCTGCCAGAAAAACATATCAGCCACACAAAAATAGACTTTGCTGTTACATTAAATACCTGAACTACTAATGTTAAAAGCTGGACCCACATATCTTTCATTTCAGAGGACACCTGGGGGCTTGATCTTGAGCTGTGCTGCCTGTGTCCATTGCCACAAACTGTGCAGCTTGGCCTGCCCCTTGCTCCCTCATCACATGATTTGACTGACTGCAGTGGTAACCAATGGCTCCCGCTGTTTCCAGCAAAGCCTGTGAGAATGAAGAGAAGAGGAGAGAGCTGCTGCAGATGTGCAACACTATGAATCAAGTGAGGACTCAAGAAAGTATTGGGGGTTGAGGAGGCAAT